TCATCTTGGGAAGACTATATAGCGGTAGAATTCTGTGAATGAATTCAGGGCAACAGTTCATCCCCAGGCGTTTAAATTAAATCACCGTAACAAGTCTAGACTGGACAAAAACTGAAGTGTTTTGCAAATTTGCAAGCCATCTTGCTAACTGACTGTTAGAACAATTTATAGAATGGCTGTAACCATCGTGATCTAAACAAGCAGCCTCTCGGCTGAGATAGCTCCGCTGTTAGTAATGCACATTTCAACTAAAGAACAGAAGATATCATTAGAAAATGAACAATATGCATAGTATCTATGCAATGGGACTTGCCGTTTTCAACAAGAATTCAAAAATATCATTTTTCACCATAAATGATTGTGGTTTTTAACAAGAAGAAAATATCACTTTTTACCAAAAATGACAAAAATATTCACCAAAATTAGAGAATTGAAGATATCATTACAAAATGAACAAATCTGAAAGAGGTCTACATGTAGTACCAATATATATAATATCAAAGCAATTGGACTTGCGGTTTTTAACAAGAAGTTGAAAATATCACTTTTTACCAAAAATGACAAAAATATTCACCAAAATTAGAGAATTGAAGATATCATCATGAAATGAACAAATCTGAGAGAGGTCTACCCAAGGTACATATACACGAAGTATCAAAGCATTCAGGCTTGTAGTTTTCAAGAAGAAGTCTGAAAAGTAAAACATTGACACGGACGACGACGACGACGACGCCGACGCCGGACAATCACTCATATGATAAGCTCCGCTCGACAAAGTCGACAGCGGAGCTAAAAAATCATCAATATCTATAAATGCTTTAAAAATCTTGATGTGAGTGTTTTGAGATATTTTTCAGTAATCAGCCAGTTAAGTAACAAGGCACTGGGTATGTCACTACAATGTATGTCTCATCCCCCTTCTTTCAATATACATGTATGAAATGTCTGCATTCATATGCTCCTTTTTGTATGTACAAGTTCTGGCACAACATGCATGAGTATTTATGTATATATTGACAAAATTTAAAACCGAATGATTAGATTGGAACATAGCACAGACTAACTTTTGTTAATGTGCCTGAACACTAATGACTGTGAATTTGAAATACAAGCAAAATTGTGCGAAAAAAAGATGAAAATTGCTGATTTTAGTCAAACTAAATGGCTGCATGTCAGTCATATTGTAAAGAATCAACTTCCATCTTCTTGAAATAATATATTGCCTCTGCACCAGGCCTGAAAGAACTTAGTAATTGTTTCCCCAACAGGTTTTACTAATATACACGGTTAGAACAGAATAGCGTATTGCAAGAGATAATGCACTACACAAGTAGGTTTTTAGGCTAAATATGACAAATCTAGGGACATACCGGTATGTATACCAATATGTATCAATTATGTAGCAAGTTTAGAAAAAAATCGATCAATTAACTTCTGAGAAAATGTGACAGGTGATGGACAGACAGCACCCAATCCCTAAGCTTCAGGACTGTCCAGTCTGGTCTAATAATAATAATAACACAATACCTTGTCTAGCTTCCAACTCTTGAGCTGAGAGGGACGGTCTTTTTGGTCTCTCTTCTAAATGTATTGCTTCAGGGTTTTGAAAATTATTGTCATGTTTTGCCCTCTTCTGTTCATCATCATTTTCATCAGATCCACTACTCTCCCATCCACTAAGTAAGCACTCCTGGTTTCTAGGAAACGCTCTTCAGTTCTTTTTGTTTGATACAAAAACTGACCGGGCCTGGAACTGA